ACAACTCAGGTCGCGGCATTCCACCGCAAAGGGTGAAATTGACGATGAGCTGCTGCAGGATGTTTAGAAGTGACAAGGACGCCTGCCCAGCGCTTTGCTGCATAGCCTCCACCCTAGTAGCGATAGCCTATGAGCGATGGCCTCTGACCTACTACAGTAGCGAATGGTGTAAGATACTGCGGTGCAAGGCACTGAGGAAGTCAGCCTGAGTAGCCATGGATGTTTTCTGAAAGCTTTCCACCAAGGATCGGTACCTCTTGACGCGTTGTGTCTATGGAAATCATCACATGACATGTTCGAAAAATAAACGTTTGGATTCTTGGATACATTTGTAATATATATATATATATATGGATATATCACATCTATATATGTGTCAAATCATGTCAAAGAGCACTCTCGACGCTCGTAGTTCTCTGCTGTGAAGTACTTGACCGTCTGCCAGGAAGGAATTTGGATCAATTTGATTGAAGCAGTGTCCCTGGCCTCATAGTTTACCAGCGAATCTGTCAGGCGGTCGTGCAAGTCATTGTCATGTTTTGTCGTTGCAGTTCGGAACCTGCCAGCCGTTGAAAGTGTCTAGCAGTCCACCATAGTCCGCCCCTGCTAGCTGGTGACATCCGTCTGCACGTTTCAACTTCATCTCAGGGCGCACTTCTTCCTCCAAAGGGTGATCTTGATCGTGGCATACATGTAGGCCGTCAGGTTTAGAATAACAAAGACCTCAAGTCCCATCAGATTTTGACAGTGCATCTGCTTTGTGTGGAACGCTGCACCTGTGCATCTGCTGTATCTTGGAACCTTGCTGCCAGCTGCACGTTCTCAAAGTGGAACACGAAAATGAGAGTCACCTTCAAACGAGGCTTTCAATTCAATGCGCTCATGCAGCATCTCAGCCTAGCATAAAATAGTGCACCAAAATTATGATCCTGGGCCCGCACTGCCAACGCTTCCACAAGGGTCGGAATCAAGTAAAGGACAACATACTGCATTGTCTGCTGGGCAGCCTGCTCCAGAGCCAGTCTTCTATCACAGGCAGGACAATGGTCTGAAAGCGGCTTAGTTCAAAGCCTGGATACCTCTATCCATCGAGCGAACCACATTCCTGCCATGCCGTGAGTGGCTCTCTTAGCATAGAGATTCTACACTCTCACTCTTCAAGGCCTTGCATTGTGTGTCTCAACAAGGATTAGTAACAAGAGGAACAAAGGGCATCGCTACGAACGGAGCAAGGATGCTACTAGGGCGCTCCTGGCCTTACTACTTAGGAGCAAGAGAACGCTACTAGAAACTCTCACTCTTCAGTCTTTAGTGCATTGCATCGTCTCAACAAGGATTTGCATGCTCAAGTTTACCAAGCAAAGACGGCAAAGCACACGCCAGGAAGAACTACGGTGGCCTTTACTGAAGAAACAGCTTTGGCGTAAGGAATGCCAGGAAGGCCCCATCTTCTTTCTCAAGTGCCAGTCCAAAGACAACCCATGAAGATGAGCAAAGGTGTTGTCTGCAATTTCAATATACCTGTGCAAAGAACTCCCCTGTCAGTCTAGCGCCAAGTGTTGTAGTAAATCAAATAAAATGCAGGTTTGTTCTCAGGACCAAATTGTTTGCTCAAGAGAAAGTTATGTATATACTGGGTGGGGACCAATGACTTAGGACTTCCCAGGTCCAATGACATAAGTGGTTGCCAGGGCGGTTTTCCCTAGTCATCATGGAGGAGGGAGACATGGAAATCTACCTGAGTGAAAAGAAAGAGCGATATGACTTAGGAGTTGCGCAAAAGAGATGCTATCAGCAATTCTTTTTTCAGTCATGTGTTTTGTCCTTGATTTCTACCATTCCAGGAATCCTCAAGAGGGTGTCTTAAGATGTCTTAAGTTTCCTGATCTTGCATGATCTTGCTAGTTTTGGCTTCATGACTTAGGACACATGGCTTGCGGCACGTTGCTCTTTCCTCATGACATGGGAGTTGTGTTTTTGATTATACTTTTGACAAATCCTATGTCAGTCAGTGGTGGCCAGTATATATACAATAGTCTTATAATCCAGAGTCCAGAGGCCTGGATGCATGAAAACCGAGTTGGGGTTAATTGATGCAAGATGCGCGGCTTGCTGGACCTTGATGTAAACCAAAGACTGTGCTTCCTGCGAGATTCCAGTGTGCTGAGATAAAGAGTTCAATGGCCATACCCACCTTCAAGGTTCGCGAAAGAAACACCAAGGCCGCATACTCGACCAAAGGCCACCAAATCTGCCAGAGCTTGTTAGTGCTTAAGTCACTGATATTGAACATCGCATCTGGTGTTGCGTACTGTCTTATTGATCTTATTGCTATTCGTCCCTTCCTGACCGTGTCAAAAATCCAAACACAAAAAATCACATGCCTCCGCATTGATCTCTGGAGATGATTCGCGCAGCGCGGAGGAAAGAGCATTCGTCGCCCGGGCGAGGTAGATGGGGGAGATAATGTTGCACACCTAAGGAAAGGACAAGAGAAAAAGCTCGAAGAAGCAAACATGCATGATCAGGCAAAGTTTCTGGCCTTGGAGAGGACCACACAAATCCACGTTGTCAAAGCACGGATGCGGTTCATGAACACCTTGACGTCAAGGCCACACAATAGCATGGCACCATGAACACCGTCATATCTTACTACAAAGAACACTTGATTCATCAGTCGGTGCAACGTTGTCGTCTTCGAAATCTCATACTGTGCGGCCTCCACAGGTTTTCCAGTTGTGGGCCAGAAGTATGGCTTCAGGACCTTGGGCTTGTGCAATGCTTTGTCTGACCCCCAAACCGCTGACAAATATATATATATAATACTATATATATAATCTTATAAATCTTACAATAATATACTCTACTTTCAATGATATCTTGAGACCCACAGGAATAGTGCTCAGCTCCTTTGGAAAGATTCATGAGAATCCACGAGATTGCACTGGAATACAAGATTCACCACTCACTCTCCCTGACCCAGTCACCTGAGTCTGAGCTGTCAACCTTCACAGTTTGAAAAAAGGACAATGCTGAGGAGTACCTTGTGAGAAAACAAAATCCGGCCAGCTGTAGGGTTGTAAGATATGTTCACCTCAAAGTGGCTCACTGGGCATGCTCATCGGCCTGAACACGACCGGACACCACTTCAAGCAGTATGTACATAAAAGGTGTGAGTTGATGCACTTCCAGAAATCTGAGAGCCAACACCTCGTTTTGTTCACTGGTGGTCTCCTGGCAGTTCAAAGTCTGGGATTGATAGTCATGCTGATGGGTCGGACAGCCAGGTTTTTTAATCAAAGAACCACTTAAGCTGCCCGACGTGCTAAGCCTGTTCTCCCCCTAGCTAGGAAAGCTCAGTGTGAACTAAACACTTGCATAACACATTGGCTTTTTGCCAACGCTACATAGTTATATAAGTTATATATTATATTACACAAAACAACAAACAGTATGATAAACAAGGTACTAGCACTCTGCATAAAGCTCTTTTGATTTGATACTTTAAGCCAGCAGCTTTGAGACTTCCGCCTGCTCTATGATTGCGGCTTTCCGGAAGTACGCCCTCACCCAAAGCTGTGAGGCCTGGGTAAAACTTTCAGAATCAAGAAACATGAATAAAACATCTACAGCCGCCAAGAGAAAGGGCCATCCACAGCCATCCAGGGCTCGTGCCAACAACGTGCAAAGGCAGCTGAATGCACCCCATGCAACCTGGGTGTAGCATTATGCAAGGGACAATCCGGGAGAAGGAAGAAACTAGCACAATATGACAAATGTTTCGACATTGATTTAACACATTTGGTTGGTTTCCAAAATGTCTTCTCCCAAAATGGTGCACTCATCGCAATTCCATGGGGGCCCGCTTCTAAATCTCCCTTAAACTCCAACCACACTCAAACCACAGGGATGTTAAGCATGAAGGCATGTCAACTGCAAAAACTGTGAGAGGTGTCTAGCGCGGACCTTTTCAGGGGCCTGTTGAGCTGCTGGAGCTGTTGTTGCTGCTACTGCTGCTGCTGGACTTGCCCATTTTTGTTCTCAGAAATCTTCAGGACATAGGAAGGATGTAAAAGCTGACTCAAAAGATTTGGATGTTTGATGGGCAAGTGGTCAAGAAATGGACCGTCGTCTAGCGCGGTGCTAGCGCGGATCTAGCGCCAGCCTAGCGCAAAAATCTCCGTCGATTTCTTGATCCTGTCAGATTCTTACTTTTCCTGCTTGCTTGTCTTCTTATTATTCTTCTTGTTGTGCATTCTTCTTCTTCTGCTTTGTTTCTTCTTTTTCTTGTCTTGCTTCTTCTTTTTCCTGCTCTCTGCTTGTTTCTTTTTCCTGCTTGCTCATCCTGTTATGAAGAAATCTAGCGCCAACCTAGCGCTGCCTTGCTGTAACACCATAGTCTGCTGGGGGCCCGCTTCTAAACGAAGACTTAAAAACACATCTCCAGCCTTAAAAGTTTACGTTTATCTATATTTTTTTAGTAGGGCCTTTTGAGCGCAGTCCATTTGTTTCCTTCATGGATGGCCAAACAACGGCAAGTTGCTGTTGGAACGAAGATCTTGCCCGCTTGAGGCAACTCCCAGTCAAGTAGCGAAGTCCTCAACAAACGCTGTTCAGTTGCAGTGTGGTAGTGAGATCCAAGCAAGACCGAAAGCATAAGCTTGCAGTTTGCCAGGTTCCCCGCCTGAACATGCCGATCAAAAATGTGACCTTGGAGTTCAAGATCGATCGTTCAAGCTGCAAGCTACTAGTTAAGTTTCCCTAAAATCTAGGAACCAAATCATTAGTGCGAGCGCTTCTTCAAGATAGCTTCCCCCGCCGCCCTACGGGCCGCGGCGGGGGGAGCTTCCTTTACGAAGCGTGAGCTATCTGTGTCCTAAGTAGTAGCGTTCTTGTAGCTACTAGCGACCTCTCCCTTACTTAATTAAGTGGGGAGGAGGGGGAGCGAGCAAAAAAAAGTAAATAAAGCGCATGGCTGAGAGGAACGTGCACCAGTCTTGTTTTCAAGCGGCGGCGTGTCAAAAAACTGAGTGCCTGAGTGTGCATGACAGTGCACATGGCAAGATTTGACACAATGGCCAGCTTTCGGCCAGCCTGCGTCAGCTTGCGTATTTTGTGCAATGCTGCCAAATGAAGACAAACACATCGTCCAAGACCTTCATCACCAGCAAATCATGGCCTCACTCCCTGTAATGGGCGGAGCGGCGGAGCCGGCAATGATCGCCAACGACCAACGACTTGCATTGTGTCCAGGAGCTTCTATCCAACTGCAGGTACTGCTGCTTCGCTACGAGGATGTACCGCAAGCTCGAGGTCCAAGGAGGCAATCGTTGTGAACTGTCGATTCACTTTGGCCTTGTCTGCAATCGCCTTCAGGGATTCAGGAAGGACGGAACAGCAGATAAAGCTGCAAAGACGCTGTGTGTTCGTGACATTGTGCACATCATTGCACAACAGCTCCTCTTCTCATGTTCTTTGGCAACCTCAAAGCTTGAATTCACATTTGTGCTGAGAAAGGTTTGAGCAAGCCTCCTGTGTCAAACCCCAAGCTTTCCAGTGTGACTATACATAATATATCATAATATATCTTACTACAGTATAGGATATGTGACTGTGACTATGTTGTTGGACATCGTGGGTGCATCCGACCTGTTGGTGACTGCATCCGAGGAGCATTGAATGTCTTTGGCTGCGAAGATCTGACAGGTCTAGGCTGCTTCGTTGAACCCAATTGCCTTTGCTTCATTTCTGCCTTCGCATGGATGATGAGCCTTCACTCATTTTCTACTAGTACATTTCGAAAGTCTCAGCTTGCATACAACTCTCACATCTTTGACAAAAATATCAACATGTTCCTTCGTCCCCGCTTGCAACGCTTTTATCTGTATAATATATATGGTTTTGAAAATATCTTGTCGACCTGGTCGACCTCCTGGAAACCATGTTGAAATCGTGCACGCCGTTGAGCTTCAGGTCTTTTTCCTGCCTGGAGCTCCGCCGCCATCTGGTCTTCCTGGCACCGCTTGCAGGCATAGATGAGAGACGCGTAGGTAAACCTCAGCACCAAATCGCTTTCAACAAGCGCTCTTTGGGTAGTCAGGGGCAAGACCAACAGCCTTCTCACAGCTATATAGTTGTAGATCCCTCCCTTTGTGGACTCCAAGTCCCCCCCAAAACCGTGGTAAACCAAGCAAGCTGGATTTTGAATATGCCGCAAACAGCTAGAAGCGTGGCTTTCAGTGAAGAACGGAAAGGAATTCACGCTTCTAATGAATTGCATTACTTTGCGCCAAGTATGACTCCTCACCTACCGAATCCTACCGACCTCTGGACTCTCGCACGGGTGAATGTACTTATTGCTCTGGAATGGCCAAGCGACTGGTTTGGAACAACCTTTTTCGACCACATCTCTTCCAGCACTGACCTCGCTTCTGATAACCGCTCAGATTGGCCATAAGCCTTGATCAAGGAGGTGAATGAAAAAACCTTGGTTGCGACTCGCGACAAACCCATGTTTTTGTTTTTCATTGTTTCTTTTCGCAAACTTTTCTTGGTGCTTTGCTGCTGCTTCGCTGGTATTTTCAAGAAGCACTCCCACCTCAAAATGAGTTCCAAGTGACATCCGGTACTAACTGCAACCCCTGCATCTTCTCCATGATGTGCTGCGCCTCCTTTGCTTGTCCAGCTTTGGAACAAGCATCCAGTGCCTCCACATGTACTTGCGCAATCTTGCGCACACATCACACCTTCCACGATTCCATATGGTTCCCCAAACATGCTAGAACTTGCAGCTGCAAAGATGAAAGATTGGTTGGTCAGTCTCGCTCAAGTCACACATCACATCACCAAACTAACCTACTGTATGATACTGTACCGCAGACTTGATGCAGCCAAAATGCTGAATTGAAGCTAATAGTTGAAGGCTGTACAGCACATTCTATCATATCCTCCAATCAAAAAGCAGTTTCACAATTGATTCTTGCACAGTTGATGGGTTGATTGATGAACTGGATGAGTGAAAACTGTTGCAAAGACTCGAGCCGGGTTCCTCTAGCTTCTCGCAAGCGCCATCAGCATTTCCCTGCTTCGCGTAGGCATTGATGACAGAGTTGAAGCTGACCTGCATTCGCTTTGCTCAAACAGGTTCTCAATTTGTGCAACTAAGATCGCTCCAGCACATCCCCTATTCAACATGTACAGGGTTTGCTTCCAAAGTAACAAACGCAAGGAACCACAGCTGAGCAGCCACATCAGCTTGGACGCGACTTGACAGAAGGCTTTGGAGGATTGCTTCAGCTTGGCTTGCATTGCTTGCTTTGGCGCATGCATTCCTGAGCCAGGCTGCTGTGATATCTGTGAAACATAATCACAACCCTGTCTGCAAGGCTCAAAGCTGAGTTGTAGCTGTAAATGTCTGGGATGATCATCATGCCAACCATGTCATCTAACACGGCAGTAGATCTGCTGAGGTCGCCTCAAAGGCAAAGTCAAGCTGGGCCTTTCCAAGAAGTACGAGTGCCTTTTTACCTCCCTCTAACATGGAAGTGGAGTTGGCCACCTGTCTGCAAAGGAAAAATGCCCCTTCAAGCCTTCAAGGGGGATTGTCCATTGTCCACTTTCATCATTGGAGAGAAGGCAAACACAACACTCCGCGCAGGCCTTTCTGGGCGCAAGCTTTCAAAAGCAGATTGAAGCTCCTCACCGTTGGCTGTAGATTTGCCTTTGCCATGTCCTCACATGCAGGCATCCGCTCGTATGGCCACCCGAGCTGGTTCCAAAAAGCCACAAACAGTCACTGAACTTGAGTGCAATCCAAGCCTCAGACAAAGCGGTGTAAGCTTTCTCAACATTGCCTCTTGAAGCCCAGGAATCAATTAGGGCCCCGTAGCCTGAAGGGAATTCGTGCCGAATTGATGAGAAGGCAAGTTGATATATTTCTCCTATAATTACACAAAAGTAATGTTACTTGATGTAGAAACATTTGTGCAAGCCAAAGAGCTGAATTCATTTGGATGCACTACAAGTGATTTCATTGCCTGCAGCAACTCCTCAGCCTCCTCTGCCTACGCAAACAGGAGCATACAATCCTCCCACTCCAAACACAATATATTGCACAATTTGAACTTGAAAAGCTTTCTACAAACCTAGAAGGCACTTTGTGTTGTAACATGAATCAATCGTTTGCTTCCACGCCTTACCAGCCTTCGCGTAACCGTCCAATAAGGTGCTGTAAGTAATCACACTTGGCTGCACCTTAGCATCTAAGCTTGTGATTGGATGCCGTTCCACACGTTCACGCATCAACAAAGGGCATTGATTCTTGTTCACAAAAACATTCCAAAGGCAAAAACTGTGTATCCCACTCCCTGTGTCCGCATCTCCACAAGAACCTCCTCTGCTGCAGACATGTCAGGCCTTTTTGCCAATGCCTTGATCAAAGCCTCAGCGGTTCCAGGTGCCTTCGAGATTCGGTGTTTGTGCCGCTGACCAGCTGCCACAAAAAAGTAGTATTGCATGGTATGAGTGACGTTGTAGGTCAAGAGGTTTGGCTGCAAACCTTGCTGTCGCATCTCATCAAAGATCTTCAGGGACTGTTCACTGACCCCAGATGATGCCCATGCATCGATCACGCTGGTGTACGCAATTGTGTCCTGGCCGAAATGCAGCTCACAGTTCACTGAAACAAGCCTCATTGAGTCGACTGAGCAACTGCAAGGACGCTCCATTGTTTCGTCACTCATTTGGCTTGAAACTTCTCGTTCTCAGGAACGCACGAGTTGTAGGCTTTTCATGGAGAGATCTCTCAACATCTTTTCCGCCTGCTAAAGCACGGAGGCAAACTGAAGCACCAAACAGTCAGCAAGGCGACCGCTGTGACCACCTCTGGAGCCCGGCCACTGCGGCCTAGGGCGTTGATCACCGACTTGTAAAGCACATCATCCGGCTCCAATCCTTGTGACGGAGCCAATCTTGGGTTATCAACCAAGTGAAATCAGTGAGGCTCCGGGCATGTCTAACGTACAAATATATTATATACAGTAACTGATCCATTCTACGGCCATGATAGTCAAAATTACATGAAACTACCATGTTGGTGCATCATTGAATTCCGTATTACATTACCCACGCACTAGGTGTTTCACTTTGAAGAGCGAAGAACGCACCCTCCCACCCACACACACGCAGAACTCACAAGAAACCAACATGGAGAGCATGGCTCGAGTGACATGCATCTCGTCGACCAGTTCTAATGCGAAAGCGCTGTCTGCAGCATTACTGCACGCTGTGATCAAAGCTTGATACCTGGGAACCAAACAACAAATTACTGTTTTCTCGGAATTCAGAACAAATGGGTTTGCGAAGCGCGTGAATCAAGCTTGAAGGTGCTAAACTGTCAATCTTATTCAGCTGACGCAGCCAAGTGGCGTGATTCCTGATGCAGTCTAGAACCAAACTGCCATGTGGCAAGTGCAGTGTAGTATGTGCATATGGCTCCCTCCCCACTGTTTCAGGTGGCAAGCGCAAAAACCATCCAAGCATCGGTCAGGTTGAACTCCTTCGATCTGCATCCTTTTTTTACATGCCATGGCTTTGTTGATGTTTGCACCTGAGAAGCTGTTCCGAAGTCAAAGTACGGGAGACATGATCAACTGCACAAACAAACTCTATTCCTGTCAAATAGACAAAGTGACTTGGTCCAAGTAGCTCTTTGCAGCCGCATCGATTATGCAATTAAACATCCTTCGATTGGCCACTGAGAAATCTTGAAAATTGACGGTTGCTCTCACACAAAGAAAGACAATCAAGGGCCAAAGTACATTTCACACTTCATAAATTTGCAGGGGAGGAAAAGAACTGTTGACACTGCATAAAGCAAAAAGACGTGGAGCCTCACCACTGTTGGGTGGAGTGGAGATCCATTCTCTTGATGTGCTTCGATCTTAGATTCCCTTTGTGTTTCTAGGTGCATACTCGGCTTCTCCGTGGGAGGCTCGCGCACAAGCTGACTAAGCATCACAAAGTACTCCTTCCATGGGTCGTTTCACGTCAGGTTGTGTAATATTCTTTGAGTGCGTTTCTCTCAACCGTCTTTTCTCTTCTCCCCCTTTTCTTTATTTGTTTTCCCTTTTCTCTGGCTTCGCCGTTCCTTTCGCCGTTTCTTACTTTCTTCCTTCTTCTTTTTCCTCCTTATTTGTTCTTACTAAGTTTTGTGGGAAAGGTTGTCAACAGAATGTTAAAGCTCTTGAAAACCAATCTCTTTGAACATCCCGCTCTAGTTTTATATCGTTTGTCCGCTTTGTGTTTCTCTGGGCGGCTCAGCGCCTCAGCCTTGATCAAATTGCCTGCCTTCCCTGCAGCCTGAAAACGAATCGCACAACATGGTTCCAAACTGTTATTAAGATTGTAAATTAATGATTCCTTTGATCAAAGGCTAGCCGAAATGACGTGTGTCAACAATTGGCAAAAAGGGACACACCTTGACACCTCTCAATCCAAGACCGTAGGAGCCTTAGACATGAGTTCGCTGGTGCAGCGCGCCTCCAGCATCTTGCCTAAGCCCTTAGGGTTCTGCTGCACGTTCATCTCTTGAAGATAGCCAAGCCAGTACTCTGCACGCGTCAAATTCCCTGCGTTGGCACACGCCTTGATCAATGTGTTGATTCGCCTCCTCGAAAAGACAGACTCGAAGTGTCTCTGGAAGGAAGTCTCAAAGGTTAGCTTACTAGTAGTGATGGCCTTGAACCTAATAGGAATGGCCTCCAACCTACGTAGTAGCTTCTGGTTACTAGTAGTGTCGGAAAAGCAACAACCATTTTGTTCAAATTGTCAATGTCACAAGTGAGGCCCTTGTGATTCACCTGGATGGGGATTGAGAAGTTCCACAAGAATGAATAGCTTACATTAAAGCAGCTGGTGTCCTGACCAGGCTTCTTTTGTAGGGCAACTTGGTGTAGTAGTGCTCTGTGTTTGCAATATCTCCCTCTTCAGCATACTCGTTGAACCGGGCTTCAAGGTTCTGCACCAAGCAATGCAAAATGCAGGCTCTCCGAATTCCTTTCGCGTGATGTTTGATGCTCTCACAGGTTCCTCTTCAGGCCTGCTGGAGTGAATCCGGACCTCAAAGTCCACTGCACATTGCTTGTCTCAACAGGTTGATGGAAAACACAAGCAAACTTGCAAGGGAGCAAACTTGCCTAACACGCCTCAGCAGTTGGATGCAGTTGCTATTTCTTTCCCACATGCTTTTGAAAGGAACACATTCGCGTACTCACATTCCAATGGTGTAGATACTTCCAAAGAGAGCCTTTTGATGTTGCTGCCAAAGGGCGCACCTCCGCAAAATTGTTCCTGAATTTGCAAAGCCAGGTGTTTTTTTCCTCATGAGTGTGCTGAGGACTCCACTGCTCAAGAGATGCTAGCAGGAACCACAAAATAATGATGATGCGACATCCTGCAGTGCTGGAGCGTTCGATTGACATGGTTCAATGATGTTGTGAACAAAGATATTGATGATTGATTGTACTCATGTCCTTGGTGCACGCGCTTTGCCTTCATAACCAACCATGGGCACCAAACTGTGCAATCCTATTTGCAAGCTTTGAAATCAATGAATCAATGCAAAGTTTTCGCGACATGCTATTTGACAAATGAACATATCTAGAGCTACGACATGCATGCCTTGTCTACTACCAGCAACATGCAAGAGTTAAAAAAAGCTGCGAACTGGCTTTCGCCTTTCGCCTGAGCCAACCATTTCCATTGCCCATCATAATCTAGTGGCTTTCCAAACTACAAACTGAGATGGACTGAGTGTATAAGATATGCAGAAATATCATAAAAATTAATCTTACTTTCATACAAAAAACACACGACACGTTTCTCTCAATGTGTCCAGCAAATGTCTATGCGCATTCGACTTCAATGCATCTCGAGTGCTGAGGATCCCTGCTAGCACCACTCGCCGACACATTCGTGTGTCTTCCTCCGAAGTCGCCTATTCTGCAAGCAGCTGACAGTAACCCATTCCTTGTAGCATTCTACTGGATTCTACTTTCAGCTCTTCTCGTGAATATTGAATCTTAAACTCATGCATTGCTTGGCACAAAAATATGGCATTGTGGTGGTGCTGCATGCCTCATTAATTACAGTATGTAAGTGTCTGATTTGACCGCAATCTAGTCGCCAAGTGCAACTGCTTTTTTCAAATCACCCGGACGACAAATGCCAGCAGTGTGAGATGCTGCGTCGTGATTTCAGGTGGAAATCAACAACAACTAGGCAAGAGTATGAAATTAGAGGGGGATTTGCCATCCTGTCAAAAGCTGTCAAAAGTATTGCTATCACTTCGCCACTTCTGCGATTTGTGGTGCAAGGACAATGATGGGAAGTAGCGCTCCTCCCCGCGAACGGACCAAGTGCTGTGTGGTCTTGGGCTCCATGGTTTGACCTCGCACTGCAGAACCGATCACCTGTTCCTTGCAAACATCTGGACGCATGCCAGGTGGATTCACCAGAATATCTGGATGCTCATAGTTCACTGACACCGCAGGAATGATGGTCAAACCCGCAGCTTTGAAAAGCTCTAAACGATGGTGACCGTCAATGACCACATCATATTGAGAATCGATGATGATCGCTGGCAAGATCTTCACTGGGAGGTCTCGGACATACTCCTGCAGTTTCTCTGCCCGGTCTGTCAAGACCTCTTCGTGAGGACGTAGATCATCAATGTGAACCAAGCGAACGCCTTCAATGACATCTGGATTTACATCAGCTGAAGTACCGAAGGTCATCTGCTTTCCTAGAGACGCAGCATTGCTTTGTCTGCGTAGTAGCGCCTGGTAGAGAACCGAGAAGTCATAAGGTCTTCGCACGGCCAATCTCACAATGCTTGGTTTGTCATACCCAGATGCGGCATGGCGAATTGGACAGCCACAATGCAAGGCAGTTCGATATACATCCTTGGCATCATCCGTACTTCCAGTATCAATCCAGATCCACGAAAGCCATGGTTTCCCAAGGAATTGCCAGGTTGGATGCAATCTTTTTAGACGTGTCACCATATGCAAGCGCCAGGCAGGAGTTTCAGCCCAAGTTCTTTCCAGGTAGCTACGGTCCTCCATTGCCGCCCTCAAATACGCTCGGGCAAAAGCCGTCACAGACCAGGGCACTTGCATTGCGAGCAAGGAATCTCTCTTTTCCTGAGTCGGGCACAAGACTGTCCCTATTCTAAGTCCGGTGCAAGCGAAAATCTTTGTCCACGACTGCACCAAAAAAATGTGGATATGCTTCTTGACCATGCTGTCAACGAAGTGAGAGCTCACGCCCCGCTGCTGAAAGTCTGGTCCAGCCCAAAAAAGCATTGACTCGTCTACCAGGACCCAGCTGCCAGGTGCGGCATTGCTGGAAATCCATCCTTCAATCTCTTCTCGTTCCATAAAATCTCCTGTGGGATTGTTAGGATTCACGAGGCAAATGATTGACGCCTCCGTAGGATTGTCTGTGGTTCCCCGGCCGGCATTGGTGCAAGCACGCTGGTATTCCCTGTATTGCACCTCTGTTTGAGGGTTAAGGCAAAACTTGCCTTGTGGAGCTGCGCGTGCCAAAAGGTCTATCAGCTCACTGGCCCCATTTCCAAAGATCAGCTTTTGTGCCTCATTTGGATCCCCTCGAAGAAAGGTGGCGACCAGATTTTCTAACGGCTGATCTGCCCGTTGTGGATAGTGCTCAATTGCAGGAGAGGAGGTCACCTTCTGGTCTGCACCCAAATGCATATTCCAAGTTTGCAGAGTTTCAGGGCCTTCCAAGAGCTGCTTCACAGCCTCTACGGCCGCTGGTACAGGGCCCAAGGCATTGGTCGTCACCGAGAAATCACAAACAAGGCGGTCCACCTTGTGAATGTCATCACCTCCATGAGTTTCTGCGCCGAAAAAACGACGAGAATGAGATCTCGCAAATGTCCAAACAGGACACTTCACCGGGAAGCTTGCGCGGCGCACTATGGCCGCTCTGCCAGCCTTCACTAAGCTGGCCATGGTCCCACACTGTTTTCGATCTTGAGTTGAAACGACAGAAGGATACAGCAAGCATAGGCATAGCTCAATAATTTGCTCAATCCATACTAAGAACAAGAACGCTACTAGGGGCTCCTGGCATCGCTACTAGGAGCAAGGACGCTACTAGGGGCTCCTGGCCTTACTACCAGGAACAAGAAGCTACCAGGGGCTCATAGGGGCTCCATCTCAAATGTGCACTTGCACATGGTTGCACAAGTTGGACACTGCTAGACTCGCATAAAGCCCACCTGTTTCTTGCACGAAATCGAAACGAAGCTTGCCACCAGCACCTGAACTTTCTCATTGGAGCAAAAGCACGCAAAACTCCATAAAACTCCCATCCAAATTCGCTTTTAAACCAACTACAATCACAGGACTGAGTGTCTGACATCTCTTATCCATGCGAACAAGAGCCAGTCAGCAATGGACGCATCAAAACTCCAGGTTTTAACCTTCAAATCACGGGCATCACGCGAACATGGCCTGGGTCTAACTCACTGCCCTTCAGCGGCCTGTTCGCTCCACCAGGTGTCCATCTTGAACTCGAATGGTGACCATAGGAAAAAGGCAACCTGCGAAAGATATCAGCCTTCCCAAAAGGGGTGTGTAAATAAATATGCAAAAATTGGATTGGATGATCCTGGATTTTCCTGGATGATCTATATCACTGGTTCTAAAACACCAAATGTGCTAAGCTGCTGGCAGCCACCGCATCAAGAACAATTGTTAGCCTGAAGAATCAATATTTCAGAGTACATGTCGTCTACCGTATGTATTTACTGGATTAGCAGGAGGAGGGAGACCAAGCACGACCACCTCGAGCAAAGGAAGCATGCAACACGAATATAGAACACCGGACATGCTTTTGCGGAGTTTGGGACCAAGACAGAACGCCCAATGTTTTGAACCATCTATGAGTGTAAGCAATCGTACCGTGCCGTGTGAGGCCCCAGCATGGTATACTATTCATTGAGATGGAAAACAATAGTTAGCAATCGAAACAACAATGAACAAAGTAAAGTAAACCCCTCTGTACTTACCTTCCTTCTATATAAATACTGTTGTATTTTCTACTTGGTTCCAAACATTTGTATACATTTGTTGTATATATTATGGATTGATCTCTCTTTGATTTCGCTTTTGACTTCTGAGCGTTTGACGCCAAACATGCTCGCCACAAATTCATTCTTCTGGTCTCCAGCTCTGCCTCAAAAGAACAGTCAGGAGGCGGCACTCTATGGTGTTGTGGTGCAACTTGCAAACCATCTGCTTCAAACTCTTCACATGCATCCTCCCTCCCTCACCCAGCAGGGCACCCGCATCTATATGTACAAAGTCAATCAACATACTTTACATCATTTGCAGGTTGCACGTTGCAAATATCACTGTGCCAAGGGCGTGACGACAGGCGCCAAGGGCGCACGACCTGAACGGTTGCAACAATATCGGTGACTTTGGCTGCAATCTTTAAAGAACGCATCATGTTTTCAACACATCAGCGCACGCTAACCTTGAGGACATGCGACCCAAATCAAGCAACATCATGCGCAAAAGCCCAAGAAGGAACTGGCGACAAATGACCGTGCTGGCCTTCTTCCATGGACAGCATCATCTTGAATGATGCACGGCGAAGCGGACCAAGCAGCTCAATCAGTGAAGCGGCAGGTGGAAAGGTGGCAGCACATCAAGAAGCTTGCAAGATGTTTTTGGGTGCATCCAGTGCAAACCTGCCTTGCATAGTTTAACGGACTGAGAAGAAGGGTGTGGCCAGCATTTTCCCCCACCAGGTTTTACCAGCTGCCTACGTCGTACGTTGAAACATGTCCATTGCCAACTACATTACATCCCCTGAGTAACTCTTGTTGTGTGCCGTCTTCGTTGTGATTGCAATTTCTGGCTACCATGGCTACCCACTTGCAGCTGTGGTTCTTTGCTCGTACTCGCTGCTGCACATAAGAGTGCACAAGTAGGCCATAGGTTTTCATTGCGCTCACACACAATCTCTGAAAGCAATGCTGCAACACAACAAGCTGACAAGCACTTAAGCCATGTCAAAGAATGGCTTTGGCTCGCGGTATCCACAATGTCATCATCTGTCTTGCCTTGACTGCTTTTCGTGATGGCCCAACATGGGTCACGCACCAAGCGAAGGTGAACATGGCGAAGACCAACGCAGTGTGGAAGCTCCGTCGGGTCAAAGTTTGGGAGCTCTCCACTTCCAGTTTGGCTTCCACACCATAGGTATCTCACATGTTTCACATACCGTTTGGTTGCTGCGTGTCATTCTCGCTTTGCAAAGTCTCCTGAGTCAAGTCGAGGGTCCAGTCGACTCTCAAGAGCGAACCGCGAGGTCGGATACCATGCGAACCGAGTGCCCTGCCGAGTCAAGCTGCGAAGATCAAGATAGCCAACTCTAAAACGTAGGAAGTCATCTCCCCTAGGCCACGGCCTTTATGATCTCTATGCTTGTGCCAACCATCCCTTCACAAAATTAAGGGCCTGGTCAGGGCAGGCAGCGACTTCGTATCAAACTCAAACTGTGAGGTGCGCAGTGCAAAGAAATGTGCGTGAACACGTGTGACTTAGTGGGTTTATGCGGGCTTTGGGCATTCCTTCCGGTAAGACCAACCGCGCTGAGTGTGTAGATGTTGCTGAAGTGCTTCAAGATTCCAGCTGGTAACTAGTATGCACTTGCACATGATTTAGCTGACTTTTTGATTCGTTGGTGCAGTAAAGACTGAGCTGCGGAAGAGCAGCATGTAGGACCTGACCTTGATTCAGGTGGTCGGTACAAAAGAATTGGAGTTCCTGCACCATGTCTATGATGATGTCAACAGCACGGCCTTTTTGGTCAATACATTGAGGCCGTACTTTCACAACTCCCTAGCTGCCTGACAGCACTAGAAAGTTGCCTGCACTCTGCATGGATCACACAACACGGCAAAAAACAGGGTTATATAAATGTGCTCTCACATCATTGCAACCATTCGTAGCAAGTCTGAGAGTTTTGATGATGTTGATGATTTCAAGTCATTTACATCATGTCCCTACGCTGCGTCAGGAAGCCATTGCTGACACGAAGGAGGGCACCTCCTGAAAGTCTATGCTTTCGAGTCTCTGCACCTGGTTTCTTGATTGTACTTACATACAGGTCACCGCTTTTGGCAGTCTGTTTGTTTTGGGGCATCAACGGGCATCAATCAAGCTTAGGTTGGTGCTGATCTTATGACCTCATTATGACATGTAGCTTTCAACTTTGGGGTTCCAGTCCTTCTCACCAAATGCTTTCATCTTCTCGGGGGTCAAGACCTTGTCGATGAGGCCATACCTCTGCCAGCACAAACAAATCATCTTTCTTTGGTGCAAAGTCAGCACTTGTGGAAGGCCAGGGATACTTAGGAACAGGGAAGAGGAACTGGGCACTGACTTGGGATATTGCAGGATTGCCGGCAAAGGGGAGGCGCTCCAAAATGGGAAAAGAGACAGGAATGAGTTGTGTCAATTGGTCCCTGACTCCACTGCTTCGTCCGGCGTCATGTAGTAGCATCGATTTGTGTCCTTCCATCGTCAGGCAATCAATGTTCATAGTGGCAAGCTGCTGAACCAACTCACTACTGGGCACATTTCTTGCATGCAATTGCGTACCATGTGGAAAAAAAACACACAACCTAGCAAAAACCAACACTGTCTTCTCCTCCACCACCTGTTCCTTGGTCTTTCCAGTTGCTTTGGAGAGGAGCTCACTCATCGTGGAGCGATTCTGCAACACCTGAAGCCATTCCGTGACCACTCCGCGTGACCGAAATTAAAGTTTGGAGCATGATTGACCGGGACATCGCTGACCATCCACATTACTCCCTAGTCTAAACAAGAGGGCTTTTTCGAGATGCGTCTTTCAATCTTTGATCATTGCGTCGCAACATTTAGCAACAAAATGCAACAAACGCTAGATCTGTGTGGTCCAAAAGTCCATGTGTTGGCACCATGGATGACGTCAGAGATGCCCTGCCTCTCGTGCCAAGATGCGGATGTCTGATGCCTGGCGCGGGCCCCGCGCTGGGGGTTCTCGCGGCTCTGAAAGCCTCAGGCGAAGGGTGATATCGATGCTGCTCTTAGTAGCGTTCTTGTTCCTAGTAGTAAGGCCAGGAGCTACTAGTAGCGTCCTTGCTCCTAGTAGCGATGCCCTTTGCTACTAGTAGCGTCCTCTTGCTTCTTCCTTCCCAAAACACAACATAAATGGCATTGCTGACAAACCTTCTCTTCCTGCAATGACACGCGACACAAGGTTACGACCCTGCAGCTTCACTAACTATTGATTGACTAATACTTGAAATGCCAACTACACAACATGCCCACTGCTTTGTACAAAAGTCAAAACAGCTTCGCCTTTCCGTGAATATGAACGCTTCTGCATACAAGAGCATAGCAAGAACACTTAGTTTTCATCTTTTCTCAACAAAAAATGATTCGGATGAGACCCTTGAGGTCCTGTCTCGCCAGTACAGTGCTCCAAAACGCATCCACTAGGCTCACGACATCACAGTTGCATTTGGCAACGCAAAACCTAACACTGCCGCGGACTATGCAAAAGACCTGCTTGCTTGTCGGAATATGAATGCAGCCTGCTTGCCAAACTCTCTCTCAGCCAACTCCAACATTTGTTGCAGTCAAGAAGCGCTTCCCCTTTTTGCCCAATCCCAAAAGCACAGCTGCAGTGCCATAAGCCTGAACCAGCCAATCACATCAAAAGCACTGTATAATAAGTAAACGGCTTGCCTGGCCGATGGCTATGGTCTGGATGTCTGGCTTGATGTACCTTATAATCCATCTCTATGTTTTGCTCCTGAAATCATAATCCAACATCAATGTATATCTTGCTCTCTTCACATTTTCGGCCCTATGCTCCAGACCCCATGCAGTCCGCAATGGCAAAAGCGTCGGTTTCCATGCCAACTTTGGACTCGCCAATATACCTGATGAAATGCTGTAGCTTGCTAGGCATGTTGCCACTAGGAGCAAGGACGCTACTAGGGGCTCCTGGCCTTACTACTAGGAACAAGAAGCTACTAGGAGCAAAGGGCATCGCTACTAGGAGCAAGGACGCTACTAGTAGCAGTACTCAAGCCGTGATTCCAGTGTGCCATGCGGGGCACCTAGTGTTGTTCTTGATGGTTGATCCAGTGCTATTGATGTAGAGGGTGATCTGGCAGTGAAAAACCAGGCATTGAAGGTAATCAAGCAGTTCAAACTTAAGCTATGGCGAGGCTGACCGGTTTGTCTGCAGACTCATAATTCAAGTACAGGAGCTGCGCAATGATCAGCTCAGTAACCTTGCAAAGGTTGGTCTTTACAGGTCTCTCATGCATTTCTCTGAGTATGGCCTCTGCGGTGATTGGTGTGCCGAGATACACAATACCTTGCAAGGACAAACATGGTCGTTGGCTGCGGAGGTGTTTACCTTTTTGACAGGTTTGAGGTCTTGCAGGCTTATGAGGACTGTCAATTTTTGCATGAGTCAACTTGGCATCTGACAGAGATTTCGCTACATCTCTAGTCTTGAACATTGTTGAACCTTGTTGCTATTTACAGTTTCTTCCTTTTCCTTGTACAATGAAGGATGCCTTTATATTTCATTTACTGATGGGACCTGTTCCGAACAAAGACCTAACAAAGTAACAACTGTGCGCAGCAGGTGTTCAGTCACTGCCAATCATCTCCTCAGCCGAGATCCCGACGTTCCTTTAATAATAGGGATGGCAGGTCGGGAGGTGGCCCGATTGGTGCACCCTGGGGACGCTTTCGCCGTTCTTGGCGACGTGAACGTGAACATGTAGTCAACAAAGAGCCGCAAAGGTCTTATTTAATTAGTCACTCTTGATCCAAAGTAACTGAATTGTGTTGCTCGCATACATTTACGAACATTTCGCATGTTGTATACAGTGAAGGTGAACAGCACGTGAAACAGGCGATTGGGAAACCATGAACTTGAACATATAGAAATCAATAGATGAGAAAAGTACGCCCTGACAGTGACTGAAAGCAAGACAACAGGAAGAAAAACAAATGTAGAATCACGGAGAACTAAACACTGGGAAGGAGGGGGTGGGAACAGCAGGAGTGGGAGCCAGAGCCATGAAGCGCGCAGGAGTGCGGGGAAGGAGAGGGGGAGGGAGGGCAGCTTCCAACCTGCCATAGAGTAGCTGCCAGCAGTCCTTAAGGAAAGGTGAACAAAAGGTTCACGAAGGGGTTTTAAAAAGGATAGAATAGGGTTTGAAAAAGGTGCGGAAAAGGCGAGCGACTATTCACAATTTTGGTTAAACATTTTATTCACTTTTGTCGAAACACCCTTTCCTGACCTTTTCATTGTTTCAGGGATTTTGCAGAAATAAGTCGGATAAACGTTCATAATCATACACACATGTTTGCATGTGTGATGTTGCTGCAGTGCTTCAAGCACCCGTCATGCAAAATATCATTGACCTCATCCACACATTCCAATTGCTTGACGCCTAGCTTTGCATTGTGTGACTTCTGTTCCAAGCAAATCTCAATGGATGGAATAATGGAATAGGCACCTCGCAGATGCCCTTGTGGCCTCTATCACAACGGGAACTGCAGTTGGCTTGCTTTTCATGTCTACGTTATAACTAGGTATTTATGCATTTGCCCAAATATAATATATATATAATGTATGTATATACAGAATACATCAGAAAAAAAATGCTGTTTTGAGCCTCCCTCCTTATATAGAGATAAACCCAAATTGATTACAGTGTATATTTAGTTAGATTGGTCTTCTCCATTTTCACCGTTCATTCTCCTCCTACACTCAAATGCTTGAACCTACAGTAAGGTATTGAGTCACATGTTTCGGAGTAAAGGCACACATCACCATGGGCACAGCTCATCTGCGTGAACTCACCATGCTCGCATCAAGTCACCATCAAAACATCAAACCACAGTGAGCACATTCGCAAAGGCTCCACAAATCAAATGTGGTCATGCGTCATGAGTCATATTGCATAATTCGTTCTTAGCAGGAAGTGTGATGAGCAAGAGAAGTACTTCGCAACCATCAAGCAGCGTGGGCACCACCTGTAGCTGCCAGCCTGTGGTGTGTATCCCTAAAGCACACCTTGGCACGCCTCTGGCCGATAGCTTCACTTTCACTTGCCAGCAACGTTGAACATACAGTTGATGATCGTGAGCATAGCGATACCTCTGCATGAACCTCCCTGAAACCTCGCGCGACATACACGCAAGGTTGGGCCCTCCACAACACCACATCCGGAAACCTTACGAAAATAAAGATAAATAAAGCCTTTCAAACATGAATAATTGTCGTGTACTGGAACATGATGAAACCCTTGCCGTGCAAATGCTTGCTTGGCCTCGTAGGTTTGGGGTGCTGAAGCGTATGCTGCTCTGGCTGTCCTAGTTCGTCTGCCTCTAAGACACCTGTCGCGAAGCAATTCACTCGCACAATGCACAATGCCAATCGACAGGTCATTTGGATTCGGTATGCAAACATGCTGCAAACTAATTATAGAGTTGGCCTTGAGAGCGCTGCACACGCCAACAACGAGGACGTCCAAAACGAAGCTGTTGGAAGTTGCTGCGTTGGCAGTGCAGATGTAGCTGCCGCGGCGACAGTCTGCCTAGGCTCACATTGTGCTTGTGCCAGTGGCATTGACTCAACCAAGAACAATGAGAGTACCCTCGCTACCAATGTGTTTGGGACCTCAAGCCACGTTTCAGCATGCAGAATAGTACCAACCTCTATCAGGTGGCATGCACACCTCCAACAACAAAATGAATGCCGGTATTGACATGTCACATCGTACTCGACAAGCATCTGTCTTTTGTTCAGCACATCAATCTGCTTATCACAGGAGTTGTTTACATAATTCTTCCAAGAATGCGGGTGGTTTCATGGAAGCGTCTCACTAAGGCGGAAATAAAAGTGAGACTCGGCACGAGGTTGGTGGAAGGAGTGATTGAGTCAGCCCTCAGGAGGTTGTGAAACGCATGAATTCTTTTTGAGGCCAGCGAAGGGTTTGGTTAAGTTGGTTGATGTTGGTTGTGCTAGTGAGAAATTGACGTCTTGTTGCGAAAATTCATGCTGCATGCGGTTGTGGATTTCTCGAGTCGGACAAATAGGACTTAGGACACAATAGAAGTTTTGAACGCTTGGGAAATCTCTTCGAGGTGTCCGTCCGTCCATGGGTTTTCTCAAAGTTGCTTGGTATCAAATTGTTTGTCCATACATCGAGCAGCACACGGTCTTTTCACTTAAAACGCATTCAACGTTTCTTCAGTTAAAGCCTGATTTCTCATGCGGCCAGGCTCTGGGAACATGATTCAGTGATGCATCTGCAGAAAGTTGAGGCACAAAAGTTCACGCGCAAAAATTGACGCATATGGGCTGATACAAAGTTACCTTTGACACTCGAAGCAATTAATAACAGTTACAGTTACAAAATAAATGCAGGGGACACAGGGCACGCAAAACAACACAGATTCAATCACTATTCAACTTGTGGAAGCAAAAGGGCCGAACACTACACCAACATTTGTAGGACAAAAGGCACACATAGATTGTTTTCTCCGAGCAGAAACCCCTTGCTGTACGTGAATCACTTCCGCTTAATGATGAACCACAAGGTCTCCAAATACTTACGCCGCACGTTGCAATTGTCACGAACTCCGAAAAGGAACTGAACTGCTGCATTATCTATCGCTATCTCCAGAGTCTCTCTACAACAAAACAAAATCACAGAACTCGAACGCTGTCCAGCCAACCCAGGTATACTACTGCGATTTGCCTCGTTTCTTTCCATTGTCTGGTTTTTAAGGGTGGTGCGTCCTTGGACTGCGAAGCTGCGGCCTCTGGAGCTGAGATGTTCTGGGTCTGTCTTTAGAATACACCTTTGCACTTGGGGCCTCAATGGCTCAGGCACCAGGAAAGCCGCCGCCTCAGCATCGCTTCGTGAAACTCTTCAAACTCACAAAACGGGAATGTTTCCAAATGCATCCAAATGCATAATCCGCCGTAAAACGCCACTGGACGAAGCAGTGCTTTGTAAGAAAACAAACCAAAAGGAAGAGGTGCTGATAGGTTCCCAGAAGATCCTGTGGCCGGTTCTACCGTTGTTCGCAAACGGTTGCAGCTGAAGCCCAGGCTGGCGCGGAGCTCAACCTTGCTGGAGCCAACAACACAAGGCACAAGGTATTTAAGTTTAAGTGAGATTCGTTCAACAGAACAAAACAGAAGAGTTTCGGCAGCTTAAGAGTTTCAACAGCTTTCAGAAATCTAGTTGACTGATCAGGCTTACCGCTTGTCAATCTGAATGAAAAGGACCTTGTGTAAACTCCCAAACACTTGAGTTTCCAAAACAATACTGAGCTCCCTTACATTGCCCAAGCAAGGTGCAGCTCCGACAATTCAGGAAAAAAGTTGCTGCGGGGGTTCATCATAGATTGCGGTTCACAAACTTTCTCCAGTATGTGCAAGCTAAGTGAATAAGTTAAGGTAAAGGGGTTGTACAATTTAAGGACCTACAATATATATATATATATATACATTTCTGAACAACACTGATTCAAATTTGCTGGTGCTGGCTTAGGTGCACTGAGCCCTTTTCCGCACCCCTTGAAACATGTTGCAGGGCCCATGGGGCACGGCGAAACTCGCACTCTACAACAAGCTTCCTTCCACAAGCAAAGAATAAAGCATGACAACATCGCCTGGTCTATGAGAATAAACCGTGGTCCAACTGCTTTCCCTAGTCCTTTGAAAGAAACTTCTGTTCTTTGCTAAACTCATCAAGCGGCCGCAAGCCTCGAACTTCCTGCATGCCAAGGGCGGGTAAGGGAGGCAAAGGTCAAATGTCATTCCCTCAAGAACGAAAATAACCACTGTCTCCAACTATCGCCAACACTTCGGCGAAATCACCCACTTCCACATGGACAATTAGATTGCCAAACTCGGATCTTCACCTAGAAATGATTGCGGAACATACTCAACACACTAGTGAAAATGTGAATTCAGAAATGATCAGTGCATTATTTGCTCATTTGGAGACTTCAACCATTTGCGGCTTGATTCTTTCGGTCAGTTTACACGCTTGATCACATTTCTGTTCCAGTTCAGTCCTTTTTGTCATCGTCTGAAGCCTACTGAGCATTGCATATCAAACACACCCGAAGAACAACACTTCATGGACATGAGACTCATTGAAGGTTGAGTCAACACAACTCGCAACATGAACTGGACATTCATTGCTCAACTGCCTCCTGAACCAGCAATCCTTTCCAGCTCCTGCCAAAAAGCATAATCGCGAGCTTTTGCTGCGAAAGCATTTTAGTTTACAGTTTGTGCACTTTAAATCATAGTTATAGAGGTTATTGAAGTTGCTCATTTCAAACAGGTGAACAAAAGTCTCCCCAAAAGCCCAGATTGGTTGATTCCCTGCAAAACCCAAGTGCCATTCTTATAACGCTCCCAGTCACTCTTGGTATCTTGTCATCGCTACAATGCTTTTTGGTCACTCTCATGTAGGCTGAAGTTGAGAGCTGTCCTCGGGGACAGCCTGGTTGGCCTCTTTCAGCACTTCTATGAGGTCCTTATGTACATCATCAAACGCCAGCAAATGCAATTGCGCTTTTCCAATTGATTGGCCTTCAAGCCAACACTTCCCTGGCCTTGGCATGTTTCGACTTGTCCGGCGTGAAGAAGGTGTATGCCGAGCCTGTCTCGCTGACTCGGCTGATTATTCTTATGTTTTCACCGGCTTCTCTTCCAAAAGCCTGATGCTCCAGCTCTCCCCGTTCGTCCCACCCGGTGGACATAGTCCTCAAGCCACTCCAAGGTTCAGAATGGAGGCTAGCTGTATCTCAAGTAGAACAGCAGTTTGTGCCATGCAGTCAATAACATTGAATGGGATGATCAGGACGATTCTCAAACGAATACATTGCAAAGTCCTCAATCTGGTTTGGAAAGTCGTAGTTGATGACACACCTGCACATAGAAAACATCCTGTCTGAGGCATGTGACCATGTGTTTTACATTGTTTGTTTGGTTTAGAACAAAGACTCATCCGGATGCGCACTTGATGTCTTTGACATCCAAACCGCGTGACGCCAAGTCAGTTGCTACCAGAATAGGTGACTTGCCTCGGCCGCCCAGTGTCAGGCAAATGCACAGCAACATACAGGCAAGACAGGCAGGGAACTTGAAGGACAAGAGCCGAGGCCTTCTTTGAACTCTTTCATTACCCAATCTCGCTCCTGGAATGAAGCAGCTAATTAGCCACTGTGATCAATGAAGCCAGGTTGAGTTGGGGTCTAGGATCAGGCTCGGCTCCTCCTGCCGCTTCTCACCATGTATGCACAAAGCAGGAAAACCATCCGTCCTGCCCACAAGAGAGTCACTAAAGACTAAAGGCTGAGGTACGCGAAACAGCTTTATGACATCAATTTGGCTTCGTCACTGTATCTTAGCGTGCATTGGTGTTAAACGGCTCACCAACTCACTACTGTAAGTGACTAAAAACATTGAAAACTGACTGAATCTAACTGAGCGTTGTTCAAAACCTATTGAGAATTGGTTTTAATCGGCTCTTCTTTCGCAAGTTCCTTACACAACTCTTTCGTGGCTTGCTTTTTGGCTTTCTCGTGCTGCATTCTGGCACAAACCCATTCGTACGTTTTCGCCCACAGAACGGACTTCGCAAGCTTTTGCAAGATTTTGCGCGTGAAAAGTTCACGAAATATTTCGAGAATCTTTCGCGATTGAGCGTTTACCTTTCGCGAAGGTACCATACATTAACCTCTCTTCATATCGTTACATGGGAAGTTTTGGCTGCTGCTCAACGAACTAAGTAACCAGCTGTCCATGTAACTATCTAACTAACTTATGTAACACTAACTAACTAACAAACTGAATTATACAACAAACTAACTAACCAAACTAACCAACAAACTAACAAAACAAACAACAAACTATAACTGTAACTGTAACTAACGCTAAACAAATAACTAGCTAACTAACTGCAACTAGCTAACACACACTTTGCATGTATATGCACATTCCCGGACATGCTTCCACTTCCTTGCATGAGGAATGCAACCTTTCTGCGAACTGACTCCCATCCTCATCTCTCTTGTTAGTTCATCGCCAGCTCTTTTCGTTTGACAAAAAATCAGGATCTTGGAGCCGTCCATGATCTGGCACTTGCTACGAATGCTGTGCGACTCTAATCAAACTTGCCATGACGAGTGAAGCCATGACGAGTGAAACCATTCATTTTGATTGATTTTCCTATCCAACCTCTATTATTGTCGGTGATGCATACCAGGAATCCATTCAACCGTTCAAGGCTAGTTCTGGCATCACTGAAGCAAACGATTTCTAACTGGTACCTTCTCCAGCAATCTTCGCAATCTCGATCGTTTTTCACTTTCCTGGGGCAATGGGAGGGCACAACAGTCTACAAGTCTTCATATCTGTGAGCTACATCTCCTGTAGAACTTCCACATACTGCTTGATGGTGTGAGCTGTACGCAGTTGTCTGGCACCGACATTGATGTGCACAGGATCCTGCAAATAGTACAAGGCCATCAGAACCCGTCCACATCCTTCCACCCTGTAGTGGGAGTTTGAGAATTTGCACGTTTAATTTGACATGGTTTCAATGTTTAGTAGTGGTCGTGGCGCTCCTCCCTGCAAAGATCTCGCGCAAGTGACTGCACCTGAGATCAATCTTTCGGCAAAAGGTGTTTTCACATCAGATCATCATGTTCATCGGACAAAATTCAAAGGGCGATGTTGCAGCAGCAATCAAACACAAACATATAATATAATATTATGATACAATATATATTACATTACATAATATTGACCTTGATCTAATCTCCTTTCTGAATCCACAGTATCCTAGGTTCGTCTTTGGCAAAGCGGTTCAAAGGTTCGAGCGCTTGGGGGGCCAGGTAGCACTCCACATCAACGTCTGCCGATCAGGGCGGACCTGGTTGACGGAACAGTGGCCAGTGGTGCTTCTCGACACTTGGCGTTCGTGAAGGCTTTGCATCACAATGAAAGTGGCAAGAAATGGTCCGTGGCCTGGGTGCATATCTTTCTCACTTGAGGCTCAAAGCCCATGTCGAGCATCCTGTCAGCCTGGAATTGAGCAGGGGCAGTGTCAGCATCTTTTGGCAAGAATGAAGTCAAGCCTCATCTAGAACCAAGTAGGTAACACGCTTCAGATTGGTGTCACCTGGCATGTTGAAAATGTATTGCAAATCACTCAAGAAATGGACGGTGACGGTACCTATGAAACAACTACTTCAAAGTCTTTGACGTGATGCTGCCCAAAACAAGGAAGCACGGCCAGTGCCCAAAAAGTCAATCAAGCGCCCCGGCGTGGCAATCGCAATCTCGACCTGGACGTCATGATCTCTATTATCCGAACTGCTTTGAACTCATTCAATAAATCACAGTGGCATAGTTCACAACAAACAACAACAACCTCGTCTCTTTGGGCAAATGCATTTGCCATCTCGCTCTAGCTCACAAAAAGGAAAACACATGCAAGAACGAAGTACGAAGTCACACATTTTGTTCTTACATGGACCAAGGATGTCACCCCATCGCGCAGATTTCGAGCTTGATCCATTTTGGGAACGCCACCATAACCTGGCGCATACGAACGATGACGACAATGACATATGGGTGATGCGCACGCGAACATTTTTTTCTTTCATTTGTCTGCACTGAGTTCCCTGTTTAGGACCGACAATAGGATGTTTGTTTTCCTGCAGTGACAAACTCTCATGTCTAGTCAGAACGAGCTTTGATGAGGGGCAACATATTTTCAACCCTAAAACCTTTTTTAACCCTGCAACATGAACATGTTTAACCCCTAGAACATTCTTTTTTAACCCTCTAACATTTTTTTTTCGCCCTTGCACATGTTTTTTCGACCCTGGAACCTTCTACTTTAACCCCGTCACATGGTCTTACAGCCACTTTAAGCTTTCCTCATCTGTGGCTCACAAATGTCCTAAATTAAGAAAGCGGGGGAGGGCGCAGCGCCTCTCCCGCCATGAAAACAAAGTATAGTATAGTAAAGCAAAGTATAGTATAGTATAGTCAGCAACCCGGCGCTCAAAGCAAACGCTTGAGTTTAAAGGTCGGCGCTGCTTTGAACCAAACAATTGCCGGGAAAAGTTGTGCTGCGTCTCCAACTTTCAAGTTGTCACAGGTAGCCAAGTGTTTGATGAGATGGGACTCCTTGATTGCTTAGTTGTCCCGCAGCAATTGCCTAAATTAAGAGAGCGGGAGGGGGGGTGCGGGGGAGGGCGCAGCGCCTCCCCCGCAATCAGAACAAAGTATAGTCAGCATCCCGGCACTGAGAGCAAGCGCTGGAATTTAAAGGTCTGCGCCGTCGGACCGGCACCTT